TGTAAAATACATGAAAGAATTCACACTGGGGAGAAACCCTATATATGTAAGCAATGTGGGAAAGGTTTTAGTACACAAGGTTATTGTAAAATACATGAAAGAAATCATGCAAGGGAGAAACCCTATGTTTGTAAGCAATGTGGGAAAGCTTTTAGTACACAAGATTATTGTAAAATACATGAAAGAAATCACACTGGGGAGAAACCTTATGTATGTAAGCAGTGTGGGAAAGCCTTTAGTACACAAAGTCATTGTAAAGTACATGAAAGAATTCACACTGGAGAGAAACCCTATGTATGTAAACAATGTGGGAAAGCTTTTAGTACACAAGATTATTGGAAAAGACATGAAAGAACTCACACAGGGGAGAAACCCTATAAATGTAAGCAATGTGGGAAAGCTTTTAATACACAAGGCTATTGTAAAATACATGAAAGAACTCACACTGGAGAGAAACCATATGTATGTAAGCAATGTGGGAAAGCTTTTGGTACACTCAAAATTTGTAAACAACATGAAAGAACTCACATTGGGGAAAAACCTTATGTGTGTAAGCAGTGTGGGAAATCTTTTACTACACAAGGTTATTGTAAAATACATGAAAGACTTCACACTGGGGAGAAACCATATGTATGTAAGCAATGTGGAAAAGCTTTCAATAAGCATGTACATTGTAAAGAACATGAAAGAACTCACACTGGGGAGAAACCCTATGTATGTAAGCAATGTGGGAAAGCTTTCACTAGGCACAATCAATGTAAAATACATGAAAGGACTCACACTGGGGAGAAACCCTATGTATGTAAGCAATGTGGGAAAGCTTTCAACAGGTACAGTTATTGTCAAATACATGAAAGAACTCACACTGGGGAGAAACCCTATGTATGTAAGCAATGTGGGAAAGCTTTCAGCAAGCGTGATTATTGTCAAATACATGAAAGAATTCACACTGGGGAGAAACCCTATGTATGTAAGCAATGTGGGAAAGCCTTTGGTACACAAAGCCATTGTAAAATACATGAAAGAATTCACACTGGAGAGAAACCCTATGTTTGTAAGCAGTGTGGGAAAGCTTTTAGTACAAAAGGTCATTGTAGAAAACATGAAAGAACTCACACAGGGGAGAAACCTTATATATGTGAGCAATGTGGAAAAGCTTTTAGTACACAACGCTATTGTAAGATCCATGAAAAAAGTCACACTGGGGAGAACCCCTATGTATGTAAGCAGTGTGGGAAAGCTTTTAGTACACAACGTTATTGTAAAATACATGAAAGACTTCACACTGGGGAGAAACCCTATGTTTGTAAGCAATGTGGGAAAGCTTTTAGCACACATGATGATTGTCAAAGACATGAAAGCACTCACAGTAAGGAGAAGCCCTATGTATGTAAGCAGTGTGGGAAAGCTTTCTTCACATCAAGTAAATGTCAAAGACATGAAAGAATTCACACTGGGGAGAAACCCTATATATGTAAGCAATGTGGAAAAGCTTTTAACACAGATGGTGGCTGTAAGAGACATGAAAGAACCCACACTCGGCATTAATTCTATGTATGTATGCAATATGGAAAAGATTTCAGCATTCCAGGTGTTTTCCAAAGACAAAAGAATTCAAAATGGGGAGAAACCATATGTATGTAAACTGGGAACGCTTTCAGTACACACGCGTATTGTCAAATAACATGAAAGAAGTCTCACTGGGGAGAAACTATATGTAAGCTTATTTTGAAAATCCTGTGAAAAATTTCTCATGTATTAGAGACCTTTAGGAATAATTAATACAAAAAGCTTGATATCAATATTTCTACATAAAACTTTCAGAAAATACAGTCCCAGATAGAGATATCTATACATTACGTGTTTTTCAGTAAATAATTTAAATATCTAGAGTGTATATCTGCAATGTTTAATTTAAAAATACTGAGTTGACATGATTAGGGTTTTTTTCTGTGTCTGAGCTTAATACATAATGTCTTAAGCATGATGAATTGAAATGTATTTTTTACTTCCAAGTAGAGTTAGTATTTATGCAGTTTTTGTTTAGTCTTTACAACAGGGAGTGCTGGGTGTGGTGAAGCATGCCTGTAAACCCAGCACTTGGGAGGCTAAGGCAAGAGGACACTTGGAGTTTGAGCCCAGCCTGGGCTACATAGTGAGTTCAAGGCCAGCATGTACTATATAGCAAGACCCTGTCTCAGAAAAATCATGAAGCCTGAAACAAAGCTGGGAGGTATAGGCCACCAAAAAGCTTAATTTTGTTAACTGTTAGGATTTTGCCATGACCTTTGTTTTAATTTTTTGGTGTGTGTACTCTCTGATGCCATATTTTATATTAAGATACATATTTTCAGAGACTAGAGAACATGTTTTTGACAAAGTTGATTTGTTTTCACACAACTTGTAGATTACCACGTTTCTTATATCGTGACAAGATAGGTGCTTTTATCCCAACATTGTGTACTATATCGTACATAATTTTGCCTATTTTTCTTTCATATTAGAGCTAATATAATTTACATAAAATTTTGTTTTACCATCAAAAGTGTACTTTTCTCTTTTATATTACAATTAATCTCTAATTTGGTGGTGATTTTTCCACCACATGTATCAGAAATAACCCAAACTTCTGTGAGTTTCTGATTGCCACAGACCAGGAGGACCATAATTTGTCTCCAAAAGGATATCTGAATTATACTAGTTTCTCCAAAATGTGTAGTTCAGGATGGCCTTGAATTCACTATGTAGTCCAGGCTGGCCTCAAATTCATGGTGATCATCTTGCCTTAGCCTTCCAAGTTCTGGGATTACAGCCAAGCACCACCATGCCTGGCCATCATTATTATTTTTACCTAATAAGCTGAAATAATGGCATGAAGCAAAACCTGATTAATGAGAGGTATCAGTTTTGTAAAAAGTGGGCTATACTAGGCCTGAGGATTTAGCTCAGTGGCACCACACCTGCCTTGCAAGCACAAGGTCCTGAGTTCAATCCCCAGTACAAAAAAAAAGATATTAAATTTAAATTCAGATTGTGTTTCACCAGTTTTAGAGAAATTCATATAATGCCATTTTTCATTCGTAAGGACCACTGTCTGATGTTTGACATAAGTGACAAATGCCTTCAAACACAGACTGGCCCAAGGTATGTGCATGAGTCCCAGTTGGTATCCTTTGACCTGTATTTTTAAATATCTTTAACATTGAAATATTTTGTAAAATGTTTTATACAATGTTCTTGAATACAAAATTCAATTTCTGATGAGGTTATATTATTACAAACATGGTATCATGAAAACAAGTGAGCAATTCATTTTTAAATACCCCTAAAGCGGTAAACATTATAGCTTACCCTAGTCTTAATTATGCTTAGGCACATAAATTACCAGTTGCATAATACTATTTCTGAAATATCTGACATAATGGAATATAATACACTGCAGCATCCAGCATCAGTCTTTTCATGTACAACTTGTGTCCAACTTCCCTACAGCAGATTGTTGAAGTTCTGCAGATGTCACTCAGTGATTTGGGAATCCTAAGTTTACTCGCCAGTATCAAAATTATTTTAATAAAAACCACTATACATCATTGTTTGTCCTTTTCTCACTTAATGTATAAAGGTCTAAACCAAATGCAATGGTGCATTCCTTTAGTCTCAGCATCAGAAGAGGCTGAGACAGGATAATCATGGCTTTGAAGCTGGGATTAGGGGACAACTTAGGTAGATTCCTTAGCAAGCTGAAATAGTTCTCTTTATAACTGCATTTTAAGTTTAAGGAAAGAAACAAGTTTGAGTTAAGAACATAAACCTAAAATGAGATGAAAAAATCACTATTGTGCCGGGGATTTAGCTCGGCAGCACCACACCTGCCTTGCAAGTGCAAGGTCCTGAGTTCAATACCAAAACAAAACAATCACTATTGCAAACTGTGGTTCTGTTGCTCAGGAGATAATCTTTTCATGATAATATTTGTATAGCAGCCATATATATGACTGCATCATAGATTAAAACATAAACAATGAAACATGAGTAAGAGACATTCCTTGGTCTGAATATAGAGACATGAAAAAATTCAATGCTGTTCCTGGAGTTTTTGGTAGAAAATAAGGTAGGATGATGCAACAAATAAAGAATTATATAAAATTCAAACCTGCACAGACATGGAAGCAAACAACAGAGTGAAGAAATAACCTACAGAATGGGAAAATGTCTTCTATCTCCTCTTCAGAGTACTAGTATCTGGAAAAATCAGGCAAGTGAAATGTATACACACTTTTCAGAAGTACAAAAGGCCAATAAAATATCTGAAAAAATGTTCTACATTTTTCCCCGATGAAAAATGCAAATTGAAACAGCATCTTTATTGCAGAAAGCACATACCACTAAGAACTCAAAAAAATAATCATGAGCCTGCAGGGAAAAAAGGAACCATTCAACATAATTGGTAGGGATGTAAACTAGTTCAACCACTAAGGAAGTCAGTGTAGAAAGTATCAAAAAATGGTAATTCCATTCAATATAGTGCTTCCTCTTGTGGGTGTCTTCCCCAAAGAGATAGATACCATACTTGAGTGAAACATGCACATTCCTGTCTACAGCAGCAATACTCAACTTTTTCTGTTGGGGGGCAGCAGTGAGCCCTGCTCTGTCAGCCACCAGATACCAAGGGTAAACAACAAGTACTCTTAAATGTACTCTAGTTAATAAATTATGTGGTATTTTATATTTTGTTATGAAATGGGCTCTATGTTAGATTATTTTTCCTGACTACAAGTCAATATAAGCATAATAGTATGTAAATGTAGCAGGGGCATAGCTATAATGTTCATTACATTTGGTGTATTAAATGAACATTCAGTGTATTTTATTTCAATTTTTTGGGGTTGGCTTAATATTTCCACTTTGTACCTCAAGGAACATCTGTAACCACTATAACTTTATCGATGTACATAACACCAATCTCACAGTATTCTCTCTGGGGTCCAATGCTGTTAGTATACTACAGTGGAACATATATATATGTATATAAGTTTCTTCTACTTTCCTCAAGATTTTTTTAGATTTCTTGTATAATCAGAAGCTGAATACTCCAACAAATGGTGCCTAAGGGCTTAAACCTGGGGAACCACTGATTGCTCAAATGAAGCTAGAAGCCTAAGAACACAAACCAAAAATGCAACCACAGCCCAAGGGAGAAGGCTTTGAAGCCCCATAAGGAACCACTAATAAAGGTTGGTGTTCAAAAGGCTGAACACTATGGAATCTGATGTTCTTGGATGAGGACAGCACCAAAAATCACACTTGTTGAAGAAAATTCAATATGCAGAAGTTTCTCCCTTCCACTTTTGTTGTTATTCCACCAATGCCCAGACCTCTTGGATGATACCAAGTTTTCTCATGATGGTTGTTGCCCATTCAGATCAATGGCCCACATATCAATTATTTTCACTAGAAGGACACACACAGAAGTGTGATTTACTAGGTTTTATGGCATGTCTCTAAGTCATGCTGATGACAAGACTAACAAGCCAAAGCCAAACAAACAATTCTAATAGTTAAAAATTGTATTAATACATCTTTGCGGTGTATGTTTACATTTGTTGACAGAGCATGGCACATGTATACGGCACATCTGAACTCTTTTACTTCCCCTTCCCATCCCTTTCCTCTCCATTTCTTCATCTTGTTTCCATTTGTAAAATATAAATCTCATTTTCCAATTACTGATCTTTTTTCTTACTAAAAAAAACAATACCTCCAATAGTAAAGTCAATCATCTATAAATAGCAAAATCCTGAATATATAAGTATGTAAGCATTTCAGCATCCTTCCTATGTTTCTAAAGAAAACTACATGATTTTTATGATTCAAAGAAACAGAATCCCAAATGATGGGTATGAGGCCACATTGTGACCCTAGAAATGGAAAGCCACAGTGTGCTGCACAGTGATGATCACAAGCAAATGAGTTCAGTGCATGAAAACCAAAGCATCAGATTCGCCTACCAAAAACTTAGATGTGGGACTGCCTGGGTTTGGGGCCACAATCGTTGCCCCCTGTGTCCAGTAGGTCATGTATAGTACCAGCTAAGGTAATCATAGTCCTTTATCTACATGTTAATTCTGCCCGTTTAGCAGGGTCTAATAGTATTAAAAATTCTAGAAATAAAAATTGGCAAAGTTTGTGACCGGGGATTTAGCTCAGTGGTACCTCTCCCTGTCTGGCAAGTGCAATGTCTCAAGCTTGATCCCTGGTACCAAAAAAATAGCTATTCTATTTGCAGACAAAGTGGATTTCAAGCCAAGACTGATTAAGAGAGATGAATGTCACTACATCCTTGTAAAGGGAACAATCCAAGAGGAAGTGATAACAATCATAAATATATATGCACTAAATAGCAGTGCACCCAACTATATAAAGCAAATAATGGACATAAAGAATAATATAAGCACTAATACAGTTGTAATGGGGGACTTCAATACCCCATTGTCACATAGTTCACAAATGGTGGCTGCTTAAGGCCAACTGGCAGCAGACAGCTCCGGAGAACTGTGCTCCTGTGTGGTCAAGCTCAAGTCTGATACCTGACAATGTCACTGAGGTCACCTATGGGAGCCAATGGGCCCCTGCCTGGAAGTGGGCATTTCATAGTTCTTACTATGTGAGAACAGTCTGCAGGACAGCTCACAGAACTATCACTGAAGCCCAACAAGAGGGTTCATTCTATTCATTTTGACAGCTGATGAGGGCCAAAGGGAGAATACAGCTGGCCAAAAAAGATGTGCCCAGGGGTGCCTGAGTCTGAGCTCCAGAGAACACTGAGTGTTACATGGCTACATTGCCAGACAAATACCCCCAAAGCTTAGTAGCTTAAAGCAATGACCAGCTTCTCATGTCTCAGAGTTTTATGGCAGCTTTACATAGTAACAATTATGGTACTTGGCATCTAGCTGGTGGCTGGGTCTGTTCAGGAGAGTCTAAGACCACTTCCCTCACCATCTAGCTGGTGGCTGGGTCTGTTCAGGAGAATCTAAGACCACTTCCCTCACACATGTGTCCTTTGGCAGGGATGTGTGGGAGGCTCCAGAAGGCTCTAGAAGGTTCTGGAAGGATGGGCTTATCTGGGCTCCTCACCCTGTCAGGCACTGTGAAGGTGTTTCTCCAGCAAGGGAGCTGGATTCTCAGATGGTGACTCAAGGCTTCCAGAGTAACAATCTCAAGAGACAGGAAGGTGCTGGTCTCTTATGTCTGAACACTAGCCCAGCATCACTGGTCCTTCTCAATTCCATTGATCCAAAGGAATCCAGCTAGATCCAGGGGAGGGGCAAAGATCCTACCAGTGGAAGAGAAGCCAAAGAATGTGCGGCCCTCTTTGACATGCCACTCCCAAGACAGACTCCAGGATTGGCCCTTATGAGGACTCTGCCCCAGGTTCCCAATACAGAGAACATTGGAGAGTATGAGAAAGAAGATCCAGCCCCCCGCACACAGCCTCTTCCTCCTGCCCGCTGATACCTGTCTGTCCTATGGCAGAGGCAAATACCCAGAAAATCACAGGACCAGAACATGTGGCCTGAGTGCCTGCCTCTCTGGGCCCTGGATAGTGCTGGGCTGTGTGGCAGGAACTTGGTTCTAAATTTGATGCTTGGCATGGAGGCTTTGGGCAGATCCCTTCTTTACAGATGTTCCAGCTGGGGGCCTGAAAATCCCTTGGGTACCTGACATGGGTTTCTGGATTCCCAGGGCAGAGCCCTGTCCTGGCATGACAGCCCCTCTGTTCTGTGGGGCTTTTGGGGCCCAGATTGGGATACCCTATGTTGGCTTCAGGCACCCACCCTGGCAATGTGGTGATAAGACTCCCTCCCTGACACAGGAGTGGAATGACTACAAACTGAGCTGGAACCCTGCTGATTTTGACATCACCTCCCTCTGGATCCCTTCTGAGTTTATCTGCATTCCTGACATTGTCCTCTACATAGGAAGCAGCGGGAGTCATGGGGGGCCCAGGGGTACCTCGAGTGGGGCAAGTGAAGGGGACTTGGGAGGGGCACCCTGCCTCCATCTCACCTCCTTAGCTTATTCCTTTAGTCCTTTCACTCCTATACACCAGCATTCAATGAGTGGCTACTGTGTATCAGTGCCTGGTGCTGTGCTAGTGGGACAGACTTGCCAATTCTGAGTAGTCTTTGGAAAACACAGTGCACTTTTAGAGATCCTGTCCTGTGAAGGATGGCAGTGTTGTTGGAACCACTCAGTGGCATCCTAGGGGAGCAACTTTGAGGGGGACAAACTCATTTGCTGTGATTTGTGTTTTGTCATGTTATTCATGGTTGCCTCATACATATGCATGACCAAAATGGACCCATTTGACTAATGCAGAAATTTTAAACTTTTAGACCTCCAAGACTCAAGAATTCTCACAGGCCCTTATTTTGTTCCTATTTACCCAGAAACAAGCAGAACCACAACCCCTCCGAATAGGTGATACTTTATATAATCACACTGTATGCCACCACAAAAATATATATTCTGTTAGCTTTAGGATTCACAATGTGTACCATATGTCCTTCTGTTAGCCTTAAATATA